TATAATAGCAAAGAGATGGAAACAACCTAAGTGCCTATTAACAGATGAATAGACAATCAAACTAAGGTACATAGACACAATGGAATACTATGAAATATTACAGAATCAGCGAATCACCTCATAATGTGAATGAACTTGGTGGACATTATGCTGAGTGAAATAAGTCTACTACAGAAGGACAAATACTGTATGAGTCCATTGTAAAAAGTCAAGGAAAGGTTTATACAAGGAAGGAAGGGAAAAAAAATACCTCCTACTTTTCTGTTTTCCACTTTCTGTACAGGAATGTGCCTAAACATCATTGCTTGAGGACTACTCAACAAATTTAGAACTCACAAGGAGCTCTGGTGTTACAGTGGTTAAAATATTCAGCTGCTAACCAAAAGGTCATTGGTTGGAAATTACAGCCTTGGAGACCCTATGGGGCAGATCTACTCTGTCCTATAGGGTCACTATGAGTCAGAATAGACTCAATGGCAATGGGTTTAGAACTCAGAGTGATGATGTAGACAATAATCGTATGTGGGGACCAGTATTTGTGCATTTCATTGGCACATGAAGATTCAAGGATGCTCCAGAATTTGTGTGTGTGTGTGTTTGTGTGTGTGTGTTTGGGGTAAGGATGAGTAAAAAAAAAGAAGAGAACAGAAACACCAAATAGTAATGGGCTTTATTCATGCCCCTTCTCTTGCTATTAAAAATATTATTTAGATTCCTATCTTTGAGAGTCCTTTAGGAGATCTTAAAGTATTGTTTTATTTCATTATTTTGCAGGCTCTAGATCTAGATGTCAGAGTTTGAATCCCAATTGTCCCACTTACTGCTGGGATGATTCTGAACAAGTTTTTCAAAATGTCTGTGCCTTGGTTTCATTATCTATTAAATGGTAATAAGAATACTACTTATAAGATTATTATGAACAGTGAAAAAAGGTACATGTAAAGCACTAAGAACAGTATCTGGAAATACTAAACACTAAATAAGGTTAGCTATTGTTGTTGTTGGGAGCTCTGGTAGCATAGTGGCTAAAGCACTTGACTGCTAACCAGAAGGCTGGCGGTTCAAACCCACCAGCCACTCCTCAGAAGGAAGGTTGGACAATCCTACTTCCGTAGTGATACTGCCTCGGAAACCCAAGGGGGGGTTGCTATGAGTCAGGGGCGACTCGACGGCAAATAACAACAACAATTGTTGTTGTTGTTGTTACGTGCTGTCGAGTCAGTCCCAACTCATAGTGACCCCTCCTTGGGTTTCCGAGGCGGTATCACTACGGAAGTAGATTACCCAACCTTTCTTCTGAGGAGTGGCTGGTGGGTTTGAATCGCCAGCCTTCTGGTAAGCAGTTAAGTGCCCCAGGCACCACGCTACCAGAGCTCCTAGGTTAGCTATTACTATCTATTAAAGGCCTGTTCAGTATCATTTAATATCCAAGAGAGCTTCACCTCTTCTGAGAACTTTTCTAAAATGTTCAATTCTATTTTCCTCCTCTTGTAACAATTTAATATAAAACAAGCCATCCTCAGAACCTTCTAGTGCTTTGGAATTATCACTCTAACAATTCTCTTTATATGCATTCTGCTTCAGTAAAATGTATGTTGCTGTCAAGTGGGATCCGACTCATAGCGACCCCTCCTTGGGTTTCCGAGGCAGTATCACTATGGAAGCAGATTGCCCAATTTTCCTTCCCAGGAGTGGTTGGTGTGTTTGAACTGCCATCCTTTTGGTTAGCAGTCAAATGCCTTAGGCACCACACCACCAGAGCTCTCTTATTAAAGACCTGTATTTTGACTCAGTATCATTTAATATCCAAGAGTTTCACCTCTTCTGAAAACTTTTCTAAAATGTTCAATTCTATTTTCCTCCTCTTGCAACAAATGAATATAAAACAAGTCATCCTCAGAACCTTCTAGTCCTTTGGGATTATTACTCTAACAATTTTCTTTATATGCATTCTGCTTCAATAAAATGTGTGTGTCTAGATAACATCCTAGATTTGGGAGGGCAGATTAATAAAACATCCCCACAGATCTTTCCTTGGTTAGCATTGGTATGCAATAAAAACACTCAAAACTCACGAGCAAACAAAACAATGGAAAGGAAAAAAAAAAAATCAATGAGCATGCATTCAGCTCACTTGTTTAGGGGACGTCAACTGAACTGGGCTGGGTGGCGCTGCTCTCGTTGTTGTTGTTGTTGTTGTTGTTGTTGTTATGTGTCCTCGAGTCAGACCTGACAGCCTTGTGGTTAGCAGTAGAGTGCCCTAGGCACTACGCTACCAGAGCTCCTGGGCTTATTCAAACATTTGCAAGTTTGCTGGAGGTTAGCTGTTCTAGGCTTTAATCTTTCTTCTGGAAATAGCCTGGTGTGTTCTTCCCATGGTAGTGGCAAAAGTGGAAAAGAGCAAACAGAAACAAAGTCTCTTAAGGCCTTGTCTCAGATTTGGCACACTGACCCTTCTGACTCACTCTATTGATCAAGCACTTCACATGTGAAATCCCAATGTCAAGGCATAGGCATATATTCATCCCATGGAAGGAGGTGGAGGGGAAGAATATTTCTGAACAATAAGCCAACCTATCACATTCATGAAGACATTGTTAAAGGATCACAATACTCTTTTCCACTGTGCCTAAGTATAGCTTTTGTATACTAAGCAGCCACTGTAATTGCCACATAACAACAACAATAATTGACACAAAACCTGCTAAATATGAGGGGAAGGAAGAAAAAAACTCTGATTGAGACTTCTGGTTTCATAAATTTTAATATTTTTTAAAAAATAAGAAATATGTACTCCAAATTCTATTTTTTTATAATATAAAATATCACCTTGTTGTTTTTAAAATAATCATGTTATGTTTATCTATTCAGTTGTAAATTAATTAGTTTGAAATAAAATAGTGTGTAAATGAAGGTAAGCTGGATCTTATATTTAAACATTTACATCCCTATCTCAAATATCTATTTAGCTCAAGTATACTAAATATCAGTAAAAGTTGCCATTGGATTTTAAAATATCAATAATTTACGTAGATGCTTATCAATTATTTATTATATTGTGTTGTGTAAAGAGAACATATTTAGAATGTTTAATAGTAGTTACTTATAATTTTTAAAATTCATGCAATTAATTTTTGAAAGTATTGAAACTGAAAATATAAGTGTGTGTACATATACATGTCTGTATACATGTGTATATATGAATCTGTGTATAAATACATATAATATACATATAACTAATGTGAATCACTTTATAAACTATAATGTTCCAATCAAATGGCATTATTATTATATTTCAGAGATATTTATATTTTATTAACTAAACCTAAATGTGTTGAATGTTTCCAATTGTCCAGGAAAAATTCATACTAACTACTCCAGGATAAATTCTTGACTGTATAATATTCCATTATTAAGTTGAAATCTAAGTCAGCCAGTGCCACATAGAGGAGAGTGATTTTGCTGTGTCTTAGATAGATAGCTTACTTTCTTGTATGTAGAGGCACTCATTGTCTCTTTACAGCCTCGATTACATTTCCCCTTCTGCTTTTATAAGTCTTTCAAAGTCCTAAAATATTTTTACCTGAGGACTTCAGTAGATGTGTGATATAAACTTTGTAGGCCTCACTTTGGCATCACACAGCTGAGCACTTCAGCAGGGATATAAACATTCTTACCAAAATATCTATACATTCCCATTTATTTTCACCCTCAAGATTATGAATTAACTGATTTAATTTATATGTTTTAACATTAAGAGAGACAGGCAAGCTTGGGAATTTAGATGTAAGTCTACATCCAAATACTACATTTTATTTAAGACCCATTTTATCCCATTCACTATTACTTAAGTGTGAAGTATAAATTCTACTAAAATAGAGCTTGACAAATACATGGTGCATCGTCCAGGACAGTAAAAAGAAATCCCATGAAGCAGATTTCTAATAGTCTACCTTTAATGTAAAACATTTCATGCAATTTTCATAGTTTCCAAGTGAAGCCTAAGCCCCGGGAGTATTGCAGCCAATCTATTTTTATAAAATACAAAGCATATCTAGAGAGAAGTCATTGTTCATGCTTGGATGCACATTACTGCAAAATATAAAGTAAGGAAAAGTAAGTAATAATTAAGGTACATGTACAGTGGAAATTTAAAGAATAAGAACTTGATTTAAAAAGGCAGTAGTTTCTATATCAAAAGAATTCATAATTCAACCCTATGATATGAATTCCTTGTCTTTTAAAAGAAGACAAATAGATTGACTAAAATAACTTCCCTTTTATAAGTAGTTTTCCAATCTTCTTTTAAACTTACTCAGAAAAAACTGAGGCCCTTTAAAATTATGTAAGTCAAACTTATATTCCATAAACCAAGAAAAATACAATTTAAAAACAATAGGAAATCAGAAGAGGATTACATTTCCTTTAAAGATCTAGGATAACATGAGGCCAATGGTGAAGGTATTTGAACCAAAGAGTAGCACTTCTTGTTATCAACCTTTTTTTTTCTTTTGGATATGAAAAATTCCAACATAATACAAACTACCACGTAATGAGAGGACAACTTTTGATTAAAAATTATTATGAATCTTATCCATTAGCTTCATTATAGCATGATTTATTAATTAACATAGAGATGAAATAGTAGTTGAAGTTTTTAAAATTATCATTCCTTAGATGCAATAGATCATCATGATTTCTATTTGATCTTTCATGACTTTGTGAAAATACTCTTTATTTGAAGGCTATTATTTTCCACTTATCTATTCTTTGGCTTAGGCAATTTATATTTGGCATATACAAAAGCAAAATCTTTTTTTCACAGATACAAACATTGATTCACTTTTATAATCTAAGCATCACATTCTACAGATTTTTCAAGAAGACATAAAAAACAAGTTAAAATTGTACTACATATAAGAAGGAAAAAAAGAGAGAGAGAGAGAGAGGGATACTTAGGTAAACACTTTAAAACACAGTAGGTTATTTCTCCATGTGCTTCATGCTACTAGTAGCTGACCAATGAGTCCAGAATTTCTTTCTTTGATTAAGGCAGCAATAATGGTGGCACCTTGCCTTAAACTCTCCTGTAGCTTAAGATCAGCCTGAAAAAAAAGGGATGAAATGATCATTTTAACAAGAAAACATGTTATAAATTAAATATCATTAGGAGTCTGTATTCAAATTTCACTTCTTTCTAAATGCCACATACTATAACCTCAGACTTTAACCAATGACGTAGACTCAGTACTCTCCAAATAAAGGGGGCAATGCTTTTGCCAACACTTTTCATATACTGAAAAAACAAACACTGCCATCGGGTCGGATCTGACTCATAGCAACCCCTCCTTGGGTTTCCAAGGCAGTATCACTACGGAAGTAGATTGCCCAACCTTCCTTCTGAGGAGTGGCTGGTGAGTTTGAACGGCCAACCTTCTGGTTAGCAGTCAAATGCTTTAGGCATTTGCTGAAGATGCAAATAAAAAGATTAATACAGTTTGAAATGGTCATAGCATTAAACAAAAGATCATTTTCCCTCAATCCAATGTCTGGCCAGCTTTGGCTCTAACTAAAGTAAAAATATTTCATTAGTAATGCAGTCTGTTCTTCATCTTGTTTCTGAGTGTTCTCTACAACAGGCTATGAGTACTCATATGGAAAAAAAATACTGTTTTTGAAGTAAGACTGAGGCAAATTTGTAAAGTGAGTTATCTCACAAGTTGCTAAAATGTAATTTTGCCTTTGAAATCATAGTACCTTTGAAAATCTGTTTATTCTATGTATGTAGGATATTTGACATATTAGGAGTTGAGAGTATGAGTGGAAAGGGAAAGTGGAAACTGAAGTAATACCTTTAGGAGTCATATGTTATGAACTGTGCTGTGTTTAGAAAGAGAGTAAAGGATGTGATTGGATCTACATTTTAAAATAAATACTGTAATTGTTCTGTGGGGAACGGGTTAGAAGACATAAGACTTGAATTTAGAGAGACTGCTGATAAGATTGTTTCATCTCCTCTCCAAACTTTGGCATACCTTATTCCAATATATATCTATTTCTATCTCCTTAATGTTTCTCTATTCTATTAACTCCATTCACAGGGCCAAGGCCAGCATAATACCTCTATCCTGGATTAATGAAACAATCTCATCAGCCTTCTCTCTAAATTCAAGTCTTACGTCTTCTAACCCATACCCCACACAACTGCAGTATTTATTTTAAAATGTAGATCCAATCATATCCTTAATCTTTCTCTTTTTTTTAACTCACCAGCTATAAAGCAAACACTGTAAATTCCTCAGCCTTTACAAAGCCCACATAAAAAATAGAAATCATACATTTGCTAAATTTAAGGAAAAATAGAAAAATATTTATTATATAAGATGCAGTAAAATCTATTTTTTTCATCAAATTATAACTGTCACTACTTGTTTTACCTCACCTTACTCTTTACTTCACAATTTAAAATTTTACAGAAAAAAATTAAATAATTGCAAACAATGTCCAAAACATGAAATGATTAAAATATATTCTAGTAGAAAATTCAGCACCATTGTTTTTTCTTTGTTAGATCTATAAAATTGTAAAAATAGAAACCAGCCATAAAAAAGGAAAAGAGAATACTCTAAAGTATCCAGGTTTCCTGAAGTACTAGGATGGAAAATAGCAAAATGCTAATAAATCTTATTCTTAGAAGATAAAATTATGGGAATTGTCATTTTCTTCATCGAGATTGGCTATATTTTCATTATTTCCATACTGAACACATTGTATTCTTCTAACAAGAAAAATAAGTTATTTTAAAATTTAGTTTCAAGATTGCTCAAGTTCAGAGAACTGAGTTTGATTTGATACCATATGAAATCTAAGTGTATCAATAATATGGAATATTGCAAACATTTTAGGAGCTATTTATTTCCATAAAAATATTAAAAATATGTACAAAAGAAGCGTATTTTGATTGAATATTCTAGCCTTTAACAAAAGGTTCCAAAAAGAATCATGTTAACAATCTACAAAGTCTTAGCTTTCTGTTGATTTAGCAGTTGAGAAAAAATATGAGAATGAAGCTAAAAGTAACAATATAAAATATATACTTAAATTATTCAGCATGTAACAATTGGCTCATTAAGAACTTGGACAGTCTCTTAACAGGTGGATGCTAAGAACTTTAAGAAGAGAGCTGAAAAAAATGCCACTATAAAATTAAAAAAATAAATAAATAAATAACACTGCCATCGAGCCAATTCCCACTCATAGCAACCCCCATTGGAGTTCCAAAGCTGTAAATCTTTATGAAAGCAAACTGCTTCATTTTTCCTCTGTGGAGCAGCTGGTGGGTTCAAACCACCAGCCTTTTGGTTAGCAGCCAAATGCCTTAACCACTACACCACCAGACCTCCTCCACTATAAACTAGGTCTTTCAAAATTCTATATCCTCAAATAGAATTATTTAGGATTAGATTAAACTCATATTTGGCTGTTTTCTGTCACTAGTAATTTAATAACTAGGATGAAATATTCTGTTTAGATGAAAGATGTGCAAAATAAAAGTTCTAATTTTGATTATCTTTTAAACTTATAAAGTAATTCTAAACTTTGTTGTTGTTGCCAGGTGTCTTGAGTCAGTTCTGCCTCATCACGATCCTATGTACGAGAAAATGAAACACTGCCTGGTCCTGCATCCTCACAATCGTTGCTATGTTTGAGGCCATTTGTGCAGCCACCGGGTCAATCCAGCTCACTGAGGGTCTTCCTCTTTCTTACTGATCTTCTGCTGTACCAAGCACGCTGTCTTTCTCCAGGGCCTGGTCCCTCCTGATAACATGTACAAAGCATGTTAGACAAGGTCTCACCATCCTCCTTTCCAAGGAGCATTCTGGCTGTATTTTTTCCATGACAGATTTGTTTGTTCTTTCGGCAGTCCTTAGTATAGTAACTATTCTTCACCAACACTACAATTCAAATGCATCAGTTCTCCTTTAGTCTTCTTTATTCATTGTCAAGCTTTCACAAGCGTATGAGGCAATTGAAAATGGTTTGGATTAGGTGTACCTTAGTTCTCAAAGTGACTTTTTTTTTTTTTTTTAACATTTTAAAGAGTTTTTTTTTTTTTGCAACAGATTTATCCAATGCAATGTGTTGTTTAACTTCTTTACTGCTTCTTCCATTGGTGCTAATTGTGGATCCAAGTAAAATGAAATCTTTGACAACTTCAGTTTTCTCTGTTTACCATGATGCTGCTTAGTGGTCCAGCTATGAAGATTTTTGTTCTCTTTATGTTGAGATTTAATCCCTTCTGAAGGCTGCAGTCTTTTATATTCATCAGTAAGTGCATCAAGTCTTCCTCACTTTCAGCAAGCAAGTTTGTGTCATCTGCATATCACAGGTTGTTAATGAGTCTCCCTCCAATTCCGATGCCACGTTCTTCATACATTCCAACTTCTCAGATTATTTGCTCAGCATGGTGAAAGGATACAACCCTGATGCATACCTTCTCTGATTTTAAGCTACATAATATCCCCTTGTTCCATTTGAGCAACTGCCTCTTGGTCTTTGTACAGGTTCCACATGAACACAATGAAGTGTTCTGGAATTCCCATTCTTTGCAATATTATCCATAACTAAATTACTATGAAATTCTAAATTTACTCCATAGTAATCAATCATTCCAAAGAAATCCTGTTACTTAATATTTGTATATGTCTCTTTTTGTTGTTGTTCATTCTTTATGGTGATTTTTTCTCTCCTCTTCAATTGACTAATGGAGTCTCAATGCTAAAATCCTTATGGAACCTCTGAATTCTTAGCAAGCTATTGGAAAGTATGGAAAATAAGAGATTTCCTTATTTTCATAGAAGATGGAGGATGATAGAGGCACCTCCATAATTCCAACCAGTTCTTTTTCTCCTCCCTACTTCTACCTCAAAATTCAGAAACCACATAAAACCTGTAGTTCCAGAAGAAAATTATTAATAAGTAGCACATGGTAAGTACTCAAAGGAACTCTGGTGGTGTAGTGGATAAGGCATCTGGCTGCTAACCAGAAGGCCAGAGGTTCAAACCCACCAGCCCCTCCACAAAAGGAAAAAGGGCCAATGTACTTCTGTAAAGATTTACAGCCTCAGAAACCCAGCTGGGGTTGCTTTGAGGCAGAATCAACTTGATAGCAGTGAGTTTGGTTTGTTTTGTGGCAAGTGTTCAAGTGGTCAATTTTGTATATTCCCCATGTCTTCAAAATTCCTTACTTACTATCCCTTTCAATTTTCTTGACTAACCACTTTTGGAGAAACTATTCCCAGTATATTTGAAGAGCCTTGTAATCAGTATAGTTAAAACATTAAATCCCATAATTGCATTGCACAATCCTCAATATTTTCATTAAAGAAGTAAAAACAAATTTATGGTAGGATGCCATATTCAAGTTTATGTGGGTTGTGCAGAATATTGCTAAAAGAATAGATGGAAATGCTATGGCATCATTGTTCCCCAAATCTTTATAGACAATCTGAAAGGAAACCTTTTAGAAGTATTTATTCTCCATAGAGATAGCTGCTAAAGAATACAATGTACTCTGTTAAAAAGAGAACTATAAAGTTAAAAAATATATGTATACTTAGGCTTTAGATGTCTCAGGAGATTATATAGCTTTTCTTGAAGTATAAACGTTGCATTGTCTCACCAGATTCCACAGCAAATTCCATTTCTATGTGTCATAGAACTGTCTTGAAATTCACATCACTTACAATTTGATATTAATCATATAGTACCAGATACTAGATGCTTTTGTCCTCCCAGTCCTTCTGCTATCCTTGTTTTAGTGGACTCATGCAGAAATAATTTTGTAAATGCCATAAAATTTCAAGTACCCTAAACAAATAAAATGTACTATGTTTTATAGTTATAGGTTATCTGTCTCTCTCATATATGATATACAAAATTCATGTTATAGACTTTAAAAATCTTTTAAAAGACTTGTTACATGTATAAGATAATACTATCATTAATAATAATTTGAGGTAACCTTTCCTTTTTGTATACATTTTGCTGAGATGGAAAAATAATGTATGATGGTGGCACACTGTCCCCTGGTGGAGATTAAGAT